CCTCTAAAGCAGTTGTTATAAATGTGAAGGCTTGTCAGACTTAGCCTTAGATTTTTTCATGTGAATAACTGGACACCTTTATTTCTCTGAAAACTAACTAAATAAAACAGAAAGAAAAAACCTTTGGTTGAACTGATCATATAGCAGTGGCTGGAAAGATGAATCTGAGAGAACGTCTTTTACTTTTGTTAACTTATTCTAAGTTAGAGTAACAAGTTTTTAACATTTTTACAATGCGTACATAAATAAGCTAACACATTGTCCAAATAACAGAAGCTTATTTAATACAACTTATTATAGGATAAAGTGAAAAATGATTCAGTGACATTTGCTTTACGAGGTCAACACTGCTTTCAAGTTCTGTCCTTATGGCTTCCAAACCATTCCTTCCAGACATTTGTACCATCATCCATCAGATTTGTTAGGTTAAAGTGTTTATTAATAACTGGTAATCATTGGATATGATATGAAAATAAGACATTCTTTTGGAGGTCATGCACTAGTAAAATCATTTAACCTTTACTTACAGAAAACCTGTTTAATTTGACTTTTTTATTTTTTGCCAGAGTGCACATTCATCATCTTGGATAAGCAGCGATGGGCAGATCCCAGTATAGAAGAGGAGCAGTGCATGGTGGGAGATGTCAACATGTTCTTGATGGACCCAACAGACCTCTCCTCGGCTGAGCTGGAGATCATGATAGCAGATGATGCCCAGTGTGCTTATCTTAAAAGTGATTGAAAATCTAAGGCTGAGCAAATATCTACAGGCAGCCTGTGCTGTGGTTTGTACATCTCAGTCATTTCCTGTAAACATCTCTTTATATCTGGACTCTCTATACAGTTGTGAGAAATGCAGCTGAGTGTAATTTGTAGTTTCAAATGGCCAAGTCCAGGTTGCTCGTATTTATTTATTTATTTGTTTATTAATTAAACTCTTTGTGGCCACTTTAAATGCATTTAAAATCATATGGAGCATTTTTGTCTCCATTTAAGTGTCTTGTGCTTCGATGCACTGAGGTAAAAAATAAAATAAAATAAAATCAACCTGGGACCTGGTGATGAATTCAGACCACAGCTCCCCGATGCACTTGTCAGACCGGACGGATGGTGGAGACGTTCTTCCACCACAGCTGCCGTAAAAATGTTTTGAACGTGTGAATAAAATCTGTAAACAAATTATGTTACACAAACACATTGTAAACATATGTGTACAGGTAGTACTGAGGTTTAAGTGTGAAACACAACCTGAATCTGATTGGACATTGACAGTCCAATCACAGAGCAGAGTCGAATCGTCCAATCAGGTGGTAGCTGGGTTCTTGAAGTTTCTCTCCGCTGTTTCTGTAGGTTTGGTTGTAGTGGAGATTCAAGATGGACGACAGCGGTATTGTTCAGCTAATCAGATGGGTCATTAGAAAATTACAGTAAACATTTCATGTGTTGTGTTTTGTATGTAGGCAGCACGCAAGGTGCTTCACTGTTAACACGGTTGTCCAACTTTATGTTTTCTATTTCAGGTGGGATACTTTATTTAGCGTTAACTGAATGGTAATGTAGGACGTTAGCAGGAACATTTTTAAGGATAACGTTAGTCGTCCGGTCTTTTGCTTTGCTTGAGCTCGTCAATTGTCAGGCTAATTGTGAAATCTGCTCAATCTAGGAGAAATCTCTTAGAGTTGACTCTTAACTTGTTCCCTGTTGGATGTGTAGTGTTTGTAGATGAAAGAACTCCTCTAGTTTTACATGCCCCATTATTGTAAATGTCTTATGCTTAATATTAATCGTGCAGCTCAATAAAAAACGCAGGCTGGTTTGGACCTCACCGATTCTTCATCAGCACGGAAACTTAACAAATTGTCCTGTATGTTTCCGCCCTGATTCAAGACCCAGTGAGGTCCAAGAGGGCTACATTTAAAATGTTGCTTAAACAATAGTGCAAAGGCATTAGTGTAACCACGATGTTCTATTATTAAAATGACTGAAAAGATTTGTAATTTTCTCACAACCAAAGAGGTAATTTATTCAGGGTCCGGTAGCAGTTTACTACCAATATCCAGGAAAAATATATATATTACTGGACTGAATATCTCATATGGTTCTCCT